CCGCACCCCTGATGGCACCCATCTCGCTGCTGGATTCGCCCTTGTGTGTGGATGCAGGGTCAGGTCTCCCCTTGCCTGCGTGGTCCCTGCCCGGGGCCTCTCCCCGACTGCCCCTTTCTCCTGTCCCCCATACGATGCTGTGGGCACGGGAGCTCCAGCCCAGCGCTCCTGCCCTCGTCACACCTGTGCCCAGGAGAGCCGCACGCAGCAGCCCCCGTGCAGCCGGCCAGGAGCAAGCAAGGGAAGCCGAGGGCTCGTCTTCTCCCCACCCCGGGCACCTTTAGTCCATCAGCACGAACCCAAGAGCCCCTGGGGTGGGCGCAGACTGGGGGAAGTGATCTAGGTGCTGCCTGGGACTGGCCCTGCGGGAATGGGCAGAGCAGAGAGCCCAGGAGCCCCACGTGTCAGCCGTTATCCAGGCCCAGTCCCATTGCGCAGAGGCCCTGGGCTCTTTCCCAACCATTGTGGTGCCCCTGGGAGGGGCAGGGAGCGGAGCCAGGGCATTGTGCAAGGTCCCCCCGCTCCCGGGCTGGGTGATGGTATATAGCCCGGCTGGCCTGGCACTGGGCACAGCAGCACGGTGACACCATGAAGTGGGGCAGCCTCTTGGTGCTGGCGGGGCTCCTCGCCCTCTGGGCCGGGCTGCAGCCCACGTCTGGGAAGCTTGTTCCAGGTGAGTGCTCCCCTCTATCCCCCAGCTCTGAGCCGCCAAATCTGCCCCAGCCCCTCTCTCCTACCCCCTATTCCGGGGGTGGTGTGAGCACCAGGCAGTTGGGTGGGAGCTGCCACACTGAGAAGGAATTGCCCCGTGGCATCTTGGGCCCCTGGACCAGGAGCAGGCACAGCTCCATGTGAGCCTCATCCTCTGCCCGGGGTACCTCTGCCAGCTCCCCAGGGCCCCCAGCCCTGCAACATGCGCATCCCATTCTACTGCCATGGCCCCGGGGGTTGCAGCCGGGCTGCAGTGGGGGGCAAGGGGCTCCGATCCTGGGCAGGGCTCCTGCCCCTTCTCACTGCGAGTCTTTGGTCTGGGTCAGACATCTGCAGGCTCCCCCCAGAGCAAGGCCACTGTGCACGGTACCTCAAACGCTACTACTACAACTGGGTCACCAGGACCTGCCAACAGTTCATTTATGGCGGCTGCCAGGGCAATGCTAACAACTTTAAGACCCGCCGGGAGTGCGAGAACAGGTGCAAGGTGGGCGGCAAGGGGCTGAGCCTGCCAGGGCCGGACGCTGCGAGCGGCATGGCGGCACCGGGGCGATGGCCGGACGTGCAGGGAAGGGTGAAGCTGGGTGAGTCGTGCGGCTGCTGGAAAGGGGCAGGTGGATCCAGGTGCCGAGTTGGAGGCCCAGACAGAGGAGGGAGGAGGGGATAGGGATTTGTGACCCCTTCCCTGACCCGTTGGTGCCTGTGTGCTGCATTGCTGCAGCGACGGCAACTTCCACGTGCTGCGGCCACGTCTGCACGGAGCCCGTTGCGGGCGCAAGGCAGCTCTGTGGCGGGGAGCGGGGGGCACGGACGTGCGGTGCAGCTTGTCTGCCGCGTGGTCGCTGCGCTCTGACTGACTTTCCCTCCCCATCAGGGCAGCCCCGAGAGTGACCCCATGGACAGCGGGGCCTGCGGGTCCTGGACCCTCCCACGGACCCGTCCTGGCTCCACACACCGATGGGGCACGTGACCCCAGCACCAGCAACCTGCTTCCCGCACCGCCCTCCCCACACGATCGCAGCTCCTTCCTGCAGCAATAAAGACCCCGCTTTGCGGCTTCCTGCAACCTCCCCTGGCTCTCGTGTCCCTGCATCTCCAGCCCTGGGCACAGAGAAGGGGCATCGCTGGCCCTGCCCGAGTCATGGGGTTGGGGGCTGATGGGTGGCAGAGGTCCCCAGGCCCCAGTGCTGGGCACGTGCCGGGACCCACAGCTTCCCGGGGCTACATGGGGCCGGGCAATGTCCCCGCTCCCAAAGCAGGAACCGCCGGGGCCCAAGCGAGGCCGTTGGTGGTTCCCTGATGGGGCAACCGTTCCCCTTTGCTGTGGGGCACCGCAGTGCGGCTCCTGCATGGGAGGTGCCGGGGGAGCCGGCTGCACCCAGGGCCCGGGGAGACGTAGCCCGCGCCCGTGAGCTCCTGCGCTCTCCAGCCGTGCTGTTCCCTCCGCGCCGTCGGGGGGATCCTGCGGCGGGGGCTGCTCCACTCCCTGCCCCGTGTCCAGCCCTCGTGCCCTCCTCCACGATGCTGCCGCCCGCACCCCTGATGGCACCCATCTCGCTGCTGGATTCACCCTTGTGTGTGGATGCAGGGTCAGGTCTCCCCTTGGCTGTGTGGTCCCTGCCCGGGGCCTCTCCCCGACTGCCCCTTTCTCCCGCCCCCCGTACGATGCTGTGGGCACAGGAGCTCCAGCCCAGCGCTCCTGCCCTCGTCACACCTGTGCCCAGGAGAGCCGCACGCAGCAGCCCCCATGCAGCCGGCCAGGAGCAAGTGTGGGAAGCCGAGGGCTCGTCTTCTCCCCACCCCGGGCACCTTTAGTCCATCAGCACTAACCCAAGAGCCCGTGGGGTGGGCGCAGCCTGGCGGAAGTGATTTACGTGCTGCCTGGGACTGGCCCTGTGGGAAGGGGCAGAGCAGGTAGCCCACGAGCACCACGTGTTGGCCATTAGCTGAGCCCAGCCCCGTTGCGCAGAGGCCCAGGGCTGTTTCCCAAACTTCCCGGTGCCCTGGGAGGGGCAGGGAGCGGAGCAGGGGCATTGTGCAAGGTCCCCCTGCTTCCAGGCTAGCTGACAGTATATAGCCCAGCTGGACCAGCGCTCGGCATGGAAGCATGGCAGCACCATGAAGTGGGGCAGCCTCTTGGTGCCGGTGGGACTCCTTGCCCCCTGGGCTGGGCTGCAGCCTGCATCTGGGCAGTTTGTTCCAGTTGCGTGCTGTGGCAGAAAGCCACCTTTGCTTCTCCCCCCAAAACTCTGCTCTGTGACAATTGTGATTAGGATCTGGGCCCAGCAGAGGATACACACCTTTACCCCATCCTTTGGATAACCTGAGCTGGATACATTCCTGAGGGAGGGAGAAAACCTGCTCCCTCTGCCTACGTGACTGGCATCACATACCTGGGTGAGGGGCTTCCGTCCTGGTGGGCTAGAGTCTTCCTGGCAACTAGTGATGCATTTCAAATTGGTTGGCTCACAGCCAATGGGTGCTGGCCTCCATTGGACCAGGCAAATGAGGTCACAAGGGCTATATAAGTTAAGGACTGCCCAGGAGGAGGGGGGCACAGCCATGAGGGATACTCAGGAACAAAGAAGAGCTGGACCATCTGAAAGTTGATCTCTCTCTCAAAACTCATGATCAAGGAACTGCTTGCCTCCAGAGGGAATCTCCCACAGCCTCTGGATGATACTTGTGAGTAAGCTACCTGAGATCCACCTAGATATATAGCTTGCAGTAACTCAGATGCGAGATCAA